CATTCCATTTTGTACTTCGTCACCAACATGTAAATAAAATCTATATAGTCTATAAGTTGTGAAATCTAGGTAGAAAAGTTTCATTTTTGACCTTTCATCTAGTTTAGAAAATTCAGTATAAAAAAAATTCTCCTCTGAAATTTAAACAGTCCACAAAAGTTTTACCTTCTTTTCTTACACACTTTTATGACAGTAAAGATCTTTCAAAGTTTTTAGCTCCTCAATTAGAGTTTTGTTTTGATTTTCCAGGACTGCAACTCGATTTTCCAGACATTTAACATACTCTTTCTTCTTTCTGCGGCATTCTCGAGCAGCTTCTCTGGAACAGACAGACAGAAGTCACTGTTTATTTTATCTGAGATTTGAATATTTTGTAAGTGTTTTAACACTGACCAAAATGAGATGAGGGAGTTGGCACTGGCATCATTAGCAGAACAAACTGCAACAGTAGGTGGAGAGCATGAAATTTAGCAGTATCTGCTAACACACATGGTAGTCAATCTGCAGGGAAAAAACAGCTTGTTTTCCAAATTCCACATACTGTGTTTTGGACAAAATCTCTGATATTTTTGCTGCCTGGATGCAGCAAGCCATAATGATGGCACACTCATTTAAATTAGCTTCCATTTAATCTGTCTTCTGAAGTCCTATCTTAGCACATTAGGTGAACAGATAAAAGCAGTTCACCTACCTGTTCTTCATCAGCCTTATTTCTCTTTTCAACTGTGGATCATCTGTCTTACTTGTCTGCGACGTCAGAGTGACAGGGGACGTCATGACCACGGTCTGCGGCAGGGACGTGGTGGTCGGCGTGGTGCGGATCTGGTAGGTCTGCATGTCTCCCGAGGCGGCTGTTCAGAAACAGCGCGAGGCGTCAAAGCACGGCAGCACGAGGAGCTGGCGCTCGCGCCAGGAGGATTCCCAGGAGGAATACTCACTTTGCACAACCACCTGGTTGCTGGGGACGAGGATCTGCTGCCCATCCGAGGTCTGTGCGTACTGCAGGATGGTGGTGCCAGGCTGCGAGCCGCCCGCGTTGGCCATGGTCAGCGTCTGCAGGCCCTGCACGCCGTCCGCGCCCGGGCTGGCCAGCTGCAGGCCATTGGCCGCGATGGCAACTGCAAGACAAAAGCATCGCGCGCCGAAAGCGCCTGTGCATCACAAAGCACAGGGACAGCTGCAGCACTGCACCGCGTGCTCATCGCCATTGGCAAACCTGCATCTTAG